ACAAGTGCGAGATGATTTGACTATTGAGGCGTTGCCTGTTCGGATTTATGAACGAGAAGTGAAGCAACGGCGAGGTAAATAGATTGCCTTGGTGAATGTAGTTTGGGGAGGACCAGCTGGAGAAAGTTGGACTTGGGAGCGTGAAGATCAGATGAGGGAGTCGTATCCGACTCTGTTTCCTTGAGGTAATTTTCAAGGGCAAAAATTATTTTAAGTGGGGGAGAGTTGTAACACCCCAAATTTAATTCAAATATTTATTCAATTTATTTAAATAAGAATATTCGCATTTCGGTGATTTTTGGATGGTTTTGTGGAGTTATTGAGAATTATGCATTTTTGGGTTATTTATTTAATTAATAGTATATAATATGAATATATTAGTATTATTATTAATTAAAATAAATATAAGTTGAATAAGGGCAAATTGGACAATTAAGAGGAGTTAGTGAGAGCATTATGGGAAAGCCCAATATTGAGGCCCAAGACTAGGTTTAACAAAAAGGAAATTGTGAAGGGATTAGGATTCATTTGTTAGACCGTGAGAAGAATTGAGGTCAGAGCTTTGAGGAGGAAGATTTGAGGCAAAAGCTCCAAAAGATTCTCTGAAAGATTTGTGAAGGCTTTAAATCGACGATTGAGGTATGAGGAGTATTACCTTCATGATTTTCCATGTGTAACTTTCAATGTATTTAAGGTCGATTTAAGGTTTAAGGGTTTTGAGGATGGATATGAGAATTAGTGATCTTTGACCTTCGTGACCTAAATCTATTATTGTGAATCTAACCGTGGAATTCATTGGGGAAAAGGGAAAGTTAGGCCTTCGTGGCCAAAACCATGATTTGTTATTTGTCTAACTCTGAAGGGATAGGAATATTAAATAATGAGTAACTCTTTTGCCTGCAGGGTAATTATAGGGAAATTTTTGATTTAGGGCGTGAATATGATACGAGATTGGCCTAATGAACCGTAGGTTTTGTGCCTTTATCGCCATAAGACCTTAGGGATGATTTATGGATGTTTTGGGGGCATTGGGAAAGTGAATCATGTGAACATTTGGATGGGTTTAGGTTTTGGTGCGTAGCAGAATTTGCTGTCATCGCACTCTTCGCCTAGTGAAGAATGCTTCGCACAACAAACAATGTTATTCCCAGACTCGCCTAGCAAACATGCCAGTGAACGTAGCAGAGTTCGCAAATGTTGATCATGTACAATGATGCCTTGATATTTGATTCTATGATTTCTTTGACGAATTGACATGAGTATGACTGTGAGTTTTATGTGATGTGTACATGATTACATGATGATTTCTATGATGTATTGATTGGAAAGCTATGATGATGTTACCATGATTTTGATGAATTATATGATGACATGAGATATGATGATGACTGCGATGATGATGATTTTGATGAATGATGATGCACCTATGTTGTTATTATGAGGATGATTATTGACGTGTGCATCATGCATTCATGTGCATCCGGACTTCGGTTTAGGACCTCGATTACTTTGGCTTCAATCCCATTGTATGGATGTGAAGTGTTTTGATGTGCTCCGATTCTCTAGTAGAATTGATCCTATTGATGGGGATCTATGGAGGGTTGATGGCTCAGTGTCCATCGAGCTGTGATGATTGGTACCACATGCATTGAGTCTTGTTGTATTTGCATTTATGAGTCATTTGGAATAATTTATAATGTTGTGGGCTTTGAGGCCTATTGATGAATATGATGATGTTGAATATGACTATGACGCCATTTATATGTTGATTTTCATACATTGATTATTATGAATCGTTTTACTCACTCTGCCTGTTTGAATGTTACCTCCTCGTGGGTAACGTGCAAATGACCAGGTTTAGCCGTGGACGCTGTCGAGGATAATTTTGAAGTTTTGGGTTGTTAGCCTTTTGGTTAACTTAGAGGGTCTTGCTCTGATATGTAACATCAGGTTGGGGTCTTTTGAGTTAAACTATGTTTTATTTAAGTTTATTTTGATTATCTTTTCGTATGAGGAAAAACCTTAATTTATGCCTTTTGAGTTCCGCTGCTTTGTGCAATTTGATGTATTTTGGAAAAATCCGTTGTTTACGGAGCCTTGACCTATTTTGATTATTTGAGAAATGTACGCCCTTTTTGGTGGATTTTATTGAATTTAATAATTTACTCTCATAATATGTGAATAAACGTGCCTTTTAATTGTGGGGTAGAAAAGGGTGTTACACGCTGCATGCATCTGCCTCTTGGATGTGCGCCACTTGTCTTATTCATGACTACTCCCTTCTTTATTTGAATTTCAAATTTCCTTAGTATTGGACAACATTCTCGGTCGAAAAGAGCTCCTTAACTCTTAGAAATGTTTTCTAAGTCCCAAAAAGTCTCCCTTTCTTATGTGAGTGTCTTCGATTTAACTTATTATAAAGACCCAGCCGAAGACTCCTTCACACTACATCAAGAATTTAACACTCCAACCAATACTTATAATTTAATATGGGCGTCGAATTTCTGAGCTAACAGTGGGGAAAAGAGAAAATCCAAGAGAAAAAATGAAAGAGAAGTGTGGAAATCAAAAAGTGTGGAAAAAGAAAAAACAGAATTTAAAATTGAAATATATATTTGATGAATAATAAAATGACACATGTACTGCAATATGATATGGAGGAGGGTTTTAATTGGTACATTTATTAATTAGAAAAAAACCTTTTAGTAGTGTAAATTTTATGAATATAAATGGTGATTTTGGAATTGCATGGACTTAAATTGATTTTTTTTTTGAAATCTTGGTATCCGGCCTTGCGACCAACTAATTCAAGAGGACCAATTCCACCGTCCACTAGCGGGGGTCCCGTTTAAAGGCAGAGCAAACCTCTGTATGGACTGAGCCAACACAAGAATTGATTGCACCTAGTAGAATTCGAACCTAAAACTTTGAGAGGAGGATACTCTCAAGACTCAAGTCTCCACCACTAGGCCAAGTCTTTGGGATTAATTGTAGGGGTGTTCAAATCCAAACCAATTGAAATAAAAACCGCAAACTGATCCAAAAAAACCGAAAACCACAAAAAAAAACAATTTTTTTGGATGTATTTGGATGTCATTTTGTAAAAACCGTTCGGTTTGGATCGAATTTTGGATAGATTTTTCAAAATCGATTCAAATCAAACCAAACCAAACCGCATTTTATATATATATATATATATATATATATATATATATATATATATATATATATATATATATATATATATATATATATATATATATATATATATATATATATATATATATATATATATATATATATATATATATATATATATATATATATATATATATATATATTGTATACTTATTTTTTTTAGTATATATGTTGTATTAATTTAATATTAGATGATACTTATCTTTTTAAATAACATTTATTAGTTTGTTTCAATCTATTTATTTTTATTATTTTCATCTTGTAATATTAACTTATATAATATATTATATATTATGTCAAACTTATTATTTATTAGTACTTTTAAGATATTAATTAAAGCTATAATTGGTAATTTGGATATTAAAAAAACCAATCCAAATTAAACCATATTAAATTGGATTAGATTAGATCATATTTTTTTAATTAATCCTGAAATTTTGGCACACAGATATCAGATATCAAGATAAATGGCTGAACACTGGGATCAAGACAGCAACCAATACTTATGCATAAAAAATAAGAGCTTAAATATAAACAATAACACAGTCAATTGTTAACTCAGTTCGGTGCAACATCACCTACATCTGGAGGCATTCAAGCCAGGAAGGAAATTCACTATAATAGTATTACTTCAAAGCCACAACAAACACCCACAGGTTTACAAGCTTCTCACTTAATCACTACCCGTACTATCTTCTACCTAGGAACTCCTATATATGAGACCCCCTCACTTCCCACCAGTCACACAATAGTGACAAACTCAACAATAGAGAACAAAAAGAAGTCACACTTCAAAGACACAAAATCCACTATTTGCTTAAAAGCTTACGAGTGAATTCACAATTACAACTCAAAAGAAACAGTTTAACACTAGTATCAAGAAGATACAAGAGAGCCTCACAATCAACAAATAAAACAGTCTTACTTAGATGTTAAAGACATAAGAGAGAAATACAAAGAATAAAACTTTCTAAACCCTAAAAACTCTTTCTTCCAACACACGACTTCTCTACTTCATTAGGTTTAGAAAACTCCTTTAAATAGACATCACAATAACATGGGATTGGACTCTTGAAACGCATATCATAAGACATCAACTTTAAATCACCTACACGATCTCCTGCACAATAATAAGAACTAAATATAAATTTTTTTAAAAAGGCTCCAAGACCCTTTTTAAGAAATACAAGCAAATCTGTGAAGACAGAAGTTCCTAAAATATCCCTCCTTAAATTGCGACACTGTGTGAATTAAAACATTATTAAATCCCACACTTTAAATACCAAATCATCTCAGACCTAAACTTCTGGTATAACATGTCCTGGCCACATGTTTCAACATCATACTGATTATGTTGTTTGACTAACTTGTCACGACATCTGTCTCAACATCTTGCTGAAAATTGTTCTAACAAAATTTCTGCCAATCCAAAATTACAGAACGTATAAATCACCTAAAGCCGAACCAAACTATAAATAAATTCATCTTTAAATTAGATAATATTTTTTTTTCAAAATCGATCAAAACCGAACCAAAAACACTCATAATTGAATTGTTATTGTTAGACAATAAACACGAGCTCATAGGATTTGACCCATTTACCCCTTTAGCAATAGATCCGAGAGAGAACACCCAAAACCCATGTTTTTTGTTTCTTCTTCATAAACGCGCAAACTCTCCGTCTCACAGCCGATTTCTCTCCCCTATCTCCGGGCACAGAACACCAATTTCTTGCTTTTTCATTGGTTTTTCTTCTCTCTCTCAGCTGAGAAATTCATTATCTTGGTAAGCTAACCGTGAAAATGGGTGCGGTGGCAGAGAACAGTAAACCGCAGAGTACACCTGAAACGACGGCGGAGAACATCGAAGCCTTGCTGGAGGTAACAGTGAATGCTCTCATGCTTACACTGTTTAACCTAACATGCATAGTCTATGATGAGTTAACCTAATATGTTTTGACATTTGACAGGCTGCAAGATATGATGACATGGATGATGTTGTGAGCTTAATATCCAATGGTGTTCCTCTTCATTCCAAGGACGCTCAAGGAAGAACAGGTCTGTATGTGTATCCATACAACTTGTTTACTCATTCTTTTCTGTGCCTTTTACTCTATAGTCTCGATTAATTCATTATCGCTTAAGCAAATTTTGTTATTGAGGTTAGGGATTAGTATATTTGTTTTTCTGCTACGCTCAATCTGAATAAAAGTAGGGCAGTGATTGTTGAAATTTCTAGTGTTATATAGAGACACAACTCCAAGAGAAAGCTTAAATGGCGCGACCAAAGCATTTCGCTTGCCATCAGCAATTAGTGCCATGCCGGCGCTATAGGATGCAATGGCATGTTTATATGGCTGATTTTAGGCTGCCCTTCTGCCACTGCCACCAACAACACTTAAACGAATTCTATACATCACATAAATGGTAAGTTGCTAGTTAGGTTTAGATTTGTTGAGTCATAGAGACTAGACTACGATAACGAGACAGTTACACTAAAATTTGTATCTAACCTCGGCTATAGGGGTGTCTCCATAGTCCTCAGTTCATTAATATGCACTGATCAATGTTTCATGAGACTGTCCGAGACCTGTTGCCTTTGATGATTAGTAGTATGAGGCTTTACTTTCTAATCTCAATTAACTGTACTCGTCATGCTCCATTGTTCACCTATATTCTGTTGAACATTCCACTACAAAGTATTTTGAAGGTAAAGGTGGAAAATAGGCTTGTAAAAAGGAGTAATTTGAAAAGGATAAAATAGGTACAGTGTTGTATGTGTTGTTCTTGCAGTTCTCTACCTAAAAGTTAAAAGATAGTATAACTGTCACCAACAATTTTGAAAACGAGTGAAAAACAGTCTCTTTGTGAGACGGTTTGTAAGCAAATGCTTATGGTACTGCGTCTAAGTTTAAACATTTGGAAAGATATGATTTCAGAAGAGTAATATGGATGGTTAATGACCTAGTAGCATTGAATTCTTACACCTTTTAATTTTTGTGGCTTGCGAACAAGAAGACACAGCATGTCCTCTACAGTTACTATTATTGATTGAATCAATTTTCTGTGAAGTGCAACTCCTTTGCTATCCGGTCCAATTTCCAAACTACATCATTCAAAGCAGGTGGATAGTGTTTCTTGTATACTGCATGTTGCTGAAAATAATAAGTTTAGATAACTCTGTTACACAAAATTTGCCTCAATAAAGCCTTAATATTGAAAAGTTTGTTGCTATAGTTCTTAGTTTCAATTCAAGTAGAAACGAAACCTAAAATTTAGAAGATAATAGTAACACTCACATGTTATGTGCTATTAGCTTCCATTCTATAAATTTGTTCCGAAGTCTTACTCTATGCAAGGAAGTTCATTGCAGTGTTATCAAATTGTGGCACCATGGCCGCTATGGCCGATATACATGGCGGTTTTGGGGCTTGCTGCAATGGTAAATATCATCCGCTACTGCGGGTTTATCCGCCATAGTCCCCAATAACGGTGCCGCAAAGCGGCCGGTATAGCTGGATTTTGGCTCTCCGCCATGGACCGCCATCGACAACACTGGTTCATTGTAAATATGAAAAATTATCTCAATTTATTACTTACTAGGTGGAGGCATGACATTGGTTTATTATATCTCTATTCTTCTAACACGTTTTAAAATCTATGCTTTGTAATAATTATACTTTTATTTAAGTGTTGATTGTAATCTAGGCTATTTGAAAACTCATATTCTCCACTGTGATCTTAAGAAAAACACATTATAAGACATGAGTCACGAGACGTCAGTTAACTTCCAGTCTCAGTTAACAACATATGTAATGGTACTGATAATCTATATCATTTCCTAGCTACTTTCATCATTTCCTTTCAGAGGAAGGAATCAAGGTCCAGTGTTTGAGTAATCAATTCAAGCCAAACTGTTGCATATTGTAACTTCTTGACAAATTAGAAACCTTCCGAAGTTCCCCAAATATAAGCAATGAAAGCATTTGTACTTCCCAGGTCATCCAGGAACCATTATCCAATACCCCAATCCTGTTAGACATGAATTATTCATATTTGCTACACACTCCATCAAGAACAAAATTGATCAACCTTTCTACTGGAAATATCTGCATCAATTCATCATATTTTAGAAATTCGTTCATATAATGGAATCCAAGATACCTTTTACTCCCGTACTAAGGATTTAAATATCTCGGAGTGAAGTATCACTCTTCTAGTCTACTTTGGTCATACTGATTTTGGGTATTACATTTTACTTCTTTTTAGAACATACTCTATGCACTTTATCGGATTTAATAAATATTAGACATTGAGTTGAATTCAATTCAAAACAAAACTAAAGTAGATAGTGTGATGTGATGATTGATGCACGTTAAAGTCAATATGTTGAAGAGTGGTAAGATGAGTTTTGATATGAAGTTAGATTTTTAGCTTGTCATTGCTAAGATTGTGAATATAGGGGCTTTTATAGAAATAACTCATTTCATAAGGGCTTATTGATTGAGCTATTTAGTTTGATTTAAATAGAAGATAATTAAGATGCTGACATAGATAACGACGATTTTGGAAGGAAAAGATAATTTCATCTTAATGTTATGATCAAATCTAAAAAAATAAAATAGCTTTCACCCATTGCTACTTTGTTTGTGCTTGACTTTTCTCTTCTAATTTTGTGTATACAGCTCTTCATATGGCTGCAGCAAATGGACATGTTGATATTGTAGAGTATTTAATCAGTAGAGGAGCGGTGGGTAGCTTTTTTTTATCACATCTTTTGATTTTTCTAACTTTTCTGCTCATGCTATTGGATAATTACTAGACGACATTTCTCGTCCAATAGTTAATCACTTTGTTGAATAAAAGATGGTGATATACTTATACATCTTTTTTTCTCCATCTCATCCCCTCTGAAAAATTATAACTTCATAAATGATTCACAGTCCAAAACTTGATAAATGGTGCTCTAAATGATGCTCAACCCATTGTTCGTAATTTGGGACCTGCGTATGCTTTTTGCAGGGGAGAATATGGAGAACTTTAAAAAATAGTAAAACTTCAAATTCACAACATGTTACTTGAATTTCTTTAGTATGTTGACAAATTCATATCACTGACTGATCCTTCATAAACTAGAGAGGTGAAATGTTGGCATGAATGGTTCTGCAAAAAACCATCTTTAACTGTCGTTATAGAAGTTAGCTAGATTAAGCATTATTACTAAAATTGCTTGAAAAATCATATTTAACACCAAAGTACCAAATTGAGTATTTGAAATAAACTTGGACCAAAACCTGTTGAAATGATGGAAATTCACTTGAGCTGGTTTGGTCAAGTTAGAAGAAGAATAACGATGGTTCTATTGCATAAAGTAAATAAACTTAGCAGATAAGGTAGGAGAGTTACTTTATTTTAAACTCCTATAGGAATATATCTCTCATTCACCCCTTCCTTTCTTAAAATTAATCACGAAAACATACTGAAATAAGTATCCTCAATCTCATCCCTTCGATTCCATTCCCTATCACTTTCCCTTGAAATGTATATTATTAAGCTTGCATATGTCTGAGCAGGATCTTAATTCAGAAAATGAGGAAAAGAATACACCGCTTCATTGGGCGTGCCTCAACGGGCATGTTGAGGTAAATACTATGCTCTTTTAAGGACATTCCTCCTTATTTTACATATCATGGTTTTCCTTAACAAACAACTGCTGTTCAGGTTGTGAAGAAATTAATCGTGGCTGGAGCTAATGTTAGCGTTCTAAACAGGTCTGTTATATCAACTGATCTGAGTCTCAAGCATTTTAAAAGGTGTTTAAAGTTTCTTACAATTTTTCGATTTTAACAATGCAACTTTTCAGTCATGAGAGGACTCCGGTGGATGAAGCTGTAACAGGAGGAAAACTTGCAGTGATGGATGCTATTAATGAAGCAGAGGCACTAGTTGAACTACGCAGTGCTCTGGTTTCTTCAAAGGAAACTTAAAAGTTTATGGTACTCTAAGTAGCTTGTAATGTGAAACTTTAATTAGTTATTATACCTGTCTTTTTGTGGTGTTTTCTTGCTCAGTATGACAGGATCACAATCTTGTTTACCTAAAAATGAAGATCTAAAAGTGAAGTTGATGACTATTATTTAAAGTATTCATACAATTAGAACGAGAAACATCAATTCTCTAAACTATCATATTTAAGGTTAAAATATGTTTTTGTTCCTCCAAACCCCATCTCTAATACAATTTTTTAGTTTCACAAAATTTTGGTTTTTGAATCCACAATGAGAAGGGTAAAGATCCACAAAAATGAATACGAACGAGTTTGAATTCGGATATTACTCACTAAAATAAGCGAATATGAATGCGAATATAGGCACCTTAGTATCCAACCGATCTCATACCTACATACTATATATATTTATATATTTTAATTTATCTTATTTTATAAAAAATTGTTTCTATCAATTTCAAAAAATATTTTAATGTTAAATAATTACGATTAAATGTGTTCGTTTGTTTTATAATTTGACAAAAGTATTTTTTTGAAATTTTTTAATGTTTTTAAAAATTTAAAATGATATAATATTTTATAATTGATCTATTTATTTTTATTAGAAATACGGATAACGGATACGGGATACTTATATATTCACATGATACGGGTACGAGTGTTAAAGTTGGTGTTTGACGGGTACTAGTGTTAAAGTTGGTGTTCAAACAGATATAGATTCGAGTACAGAGATTTTTTTTCATTTGCAGATATAAAAATAAGTACCATAGTATTCGGTCTAAATCCTATCCATTGTCATAAAAAAAAAGAAGTCAAATTGTTTAAATTCTATCCATTGTCATAAAAAAAGAAGTTAAATTGTCTAAATCCAATCCATTGTCATCTTAATAAAAATTGTTATTAAACAAAAAATATTGCTAGTAAAAAAAAAGTCAAACATCTTATAGAATTTAAACAAAAAAACTTTGGTTGTGGATTCAAACAAAGGACATTTCATTTATTTAAGATAAAATTCTGATTATTAAACTATTAAACTGTTACATTAAAAAAATTACAATATAATAAAGTGATTGATTTAGAAATTGATTTTAAAACCAAATTGCTATGACAACTTATTTAAATCAGTCGCTAAGAGTATCTTTAACGGGAACAACTAAATTGGATGAACTAAATTATTTTATGTAGGTTCAAATTGACATGGAGGATTTAAGCAATCCAAAATTGAATTAAGAAGTTTTTACTTCTTTATAAAGAATTCAAACTTGATTTTAAATGGTTAAGTCTCGAGTTTAAATGATAATAAAAATCTATTATTTATGTTAAATAATGAGTTAGAGTACGTTGATTGTGTAGAGCACGTAAACTAGTTTTAGAGCATCCTATGTCATGTGGACTTTCTTCAACGTTGATAAAATATAAAGAACCAAGACTTTAGTTCATTGGCGTTAAAGATGCTCTAAACAAATGTTCAGTAGTGGTTTCACTCAAAGTTGTCAAACTCGCGAGTCTACTCAGACTCGTAAAGGATTCGTAGACTCAACTCGCAAACGCGTACGAATCTATGAAAAATTAAAAATGACTTTCAAAAACATGTAAGTGACACATATATGACACATACATATATTTTTAAACCTATAAATGCCTCATATATGACACATAACAAATTTCTGAACAAAAAAAAAACTCGATAATGAAACAAACAAAATCGCAAAATATGTCGTTAAAGACTTAAAGTACTATTTTCTAATTAATTGTCTATCACATAAAGCAAAAAAAATTATCAAACATATATGATAATGACTCCAAACATTCAAAGCATCAATGAGATCATAAACACTAATATCATCATCATTTTCTTCTTCTTAAGTATCTTGACTATCATCATCAAACTCTGTCCCAGATGAAACACCTTCTTCATCATTAACCAAATTTGAATTTCTTGAAGTTCCCCTTCCACCTAATTCATCATTGTCACCACCTCCACTTTGCACAACATTATTTACAAATAGATGCATTTACTTAAAATTGGTTATCTACAACAATGTATTTTAAAGTTGGTTTTTAAATAGGTGCATATCTACGAATACAAAACATTCTATATTAGAAACAACAAAAAATTAATTAAAACATTGAAGAAATTAAAATTAAGGTTTACCTTTTCTTAACATTGTTGAAACTGTTTTTTTTAATCTTCTCTTTTTGTTGAATGCATCTTTGCAAATAAGAAATCCATGAAGGAATTTCCTCATAACCCACCAATCTTAGAAACTATACTCAAGCATGTGACTATGTTTCCGCAAAAACGACGATCTAAATCCATATATGCCATTTATTTTTCCTATTCTTACGACAACGAACGTGAACAAAGCAAGAGACAAACAAGCACGATCACGCTGTCAATGAAGGGAGGAAGAAACTTTGATAAAAGAAGAGACTAGGAGAGAGACTTTCTAATTCTCATAAAAGCAAAAAATAAGGGTTTTCTTTTTTAAAAAATCTTTTGGATAATTTGGGCCATTTTTGGGGTTTATAAAAAATATATTTATAGACTCGTAAACTCGTCATAGACTCGTGAGTCTATATGAGTTTGTGCGAGTCTAGCTGATTTTACTCGAGTCTATCAAATAACGATTCTATCTGCGAGTCTACTCGTTTTTACTTCCTAAACTCGTACGAGTTTACGAGTCTACTCGCGAGTTTGACAACTATGGTTTCACCACCATTATAAATATAATTGGAAAAATTACACAAGTAATATCTCAGATATTTATTATAAGAAAAAAATTCTATTATAAATATATTGAATAATCAATCTATCTATGATATTATCTTTTTTATAATAAGAATCAAAATAAGTGGGCATTGCTCAATATATTTTTAGTGGTGTTCACACATTTTAGTAAAAAATTATAAATGCCTCTCGAATATGAAGATATGTTAGAACACAGATTGGTTCTTAATAATTACTCTTTGTTTTGATGATAACTGTTAGGAAATTTATATTTAAGAATTATATACTCTAAAATTTGTTTGAGAGTTTTACTGCAGATTAAAATTATATTAACTCTCTAGAAGCAAATCTGCCTTGAATACAAGAAGCTATCCTGACTCTGAAGCGCCAGATGCACCTTACAGAAGAATCTGCTTGCTCCTTACAGAAGATCCTGAGCGTAGTCTCCAGAAGGATCTGAAGAAAGAAGCTCCAGAACATTCTGAGTCAGAAGCATCTGAAGATAGTCAGAAGCATCTGAAGATAATCAGAAGCATCTGAAGCAGAAGCATCTGAAGATAATCAGAAGCATCTGAAGCTGAAGCATCAGAAGTATAGAAGAATATTGATTGAAGAGTTTCTCAAAGCATTGATCTACAGAAGTTTCTGAAAGTACCTACGCTGTCTAGTACTGAAGTTCTGTGTCAAGATGCTCTGATGATCAACACGCTAGAAGCACACAAGCTGCAGAAGACTCTGATACAGCATAGTTCTGAATCTCATCAGAAGACTCTGATCCATTCAGACTCTGAAGAACTTGCTGAAACTGAAGAAGTGTTTTCAAGAATATATCCGTTGGAACTATTCAACGTCTCTTTCCTCATTTGTGCTAGACACACTTACACAGACAAAAAGGATTTATCTGTGCCATCTATTTCAAGGAAAGGTCAGTGCATGTGAAGACAAAAAGGCTCAGACCTTTTGGACTCTCTTTTCAACGTGCATGAGTCAGCTGCCTATAAAAGGAGTTTCTCACTTCATTCTTCAGTGCTACACACTTGCTGAAAAGAAATCACAATATTCTATAAGCTCTCATTCTTATTCTTCATAGAATCTCATTGTACTTAAAACTTAAGAGAAAAATCATTGTTGTGATTATAGCTTTATAGAAGCATTAAAAACTCTTGTATTTAATTTACATTATTTGTAAAGGATTTTCCTTAAGAGGATTCAGTGTGAATCAGTAGCTCTTGAGAAGACTAAGAACTGTAGTTCTTAGGTGATACTATTGTAATCAGTTTGATTTAATAGTGGATTAAGTCCTTGTTGAGAAAGGCAAATCACTCTGGAAGGGTGGACTGGAGTAGTTGTTTAACGAACCAGGATAAAAATAATTGTGTGATTATTTTCAAGTATTAATTTTCCATACTTATTCACCCCCCCCCCTTCTAAGTAATATCTCACCTTCAGTATACTTTCGAACACACTCAAAAGTCTACATCACAAGAAGCATGAATTGTACCACTTTCTCAACCATAAAGTAGTGCATTCACCTACATACAATGGTATTTTAGAATGTCACATCCTTACATGACACAGGATGCTCAAGGAGGTCCACTTAAGTCAGCTCATCAAGAGATATTAGAAGAGGAGCATGTTAGGGCAGATCATGTCGTTGATATGTTATCTGCATATCAATGTATTATGGCTATTGTGCGAATGAGTATAGAGGGAATAAAGTTTTCAAATGGCACTCCTGTGAGGGCCATTTTAAAGACTATACTAACCGAAGAAAGTGAACAAGGGGATGACTGTTAGACAAGTCACATAGTGCTACATTATACCAGGTCCCTCCATATGCATTGTCTTGATTTATTATACCTGGTTATTAACTACATATAGCATATGTAATTAGAGTACATGATTTTTATTTTATTAGTTTCCTTATCGATAGCTTGTACATTAAGTTAACTTCATTCTTGGATCATGATTAATCATCTTTCTCTTGTATATGTACTGTGAATTGTAATGTGAATAGGTATCTTTTGACCATTCTATTTGTCTTTCTCACTTGGTATCAGAGCTTTAAGCTTGAAAGCTCTCAATCTACCATAACCACAATGACAACCAATAGAAACACAAAGAAAAATGACCTACCAACATCAGTTTCTGTCAAGCTGAACAAAAAGAATTTTCCCTTATGGAGGTCACTAGTTTGACTCGTCATTAGGGACTGTAAACTAGATGGTTATATGCTATGAGCAAAGGAA